CTTTACATTAATCCTTCCTCATATCTTCTCTCTGTACAATTTTACATTTACTCAGCTGCTTTTATAAGCAGGAGAAAAACTGTTTGTATTTGAAGACTGTGGACAAAGATTTAGTCAGAAGAGTAATTTAAACAAAGACTTGAGCATCCAACGAGACAGAAGTCATCTGAATGTGATCTTTGTGGGCAAACATTTAGACAAAGACAAAGTGGAATTTAAACACACATGATTATCCCCACAGTACAGAAATCCATGATATACCAAATACATACATGTGAAGAGAGTGGACAAAGATTTAGCTGCAAGATATGTTAAAAAAGATTGAATGAGAAAAGATAGAATAAAGATAGAAAAGATTGAAAATATTCTCTCCACATAAACGTTCTGGTTTTCCCACAGTCGAAACCCAATGGCGCTCTCCTCTCAATACCCACACTCGTACAAATACTCACAGCAGCTTGTATACTTTTCAGTTGCTGTGTGCTGGGTTTTTAGCTTAAGGAAACTTGATAAAATGAAATAGAATTGCTCCAGGAGGACAACAGCACATTGTGCGTATGGTACCTGTAACAGTGACTCAAAGTATGGCCATCTTTCTCATATGTGATGGGTATATTTCATCACTTTTCCCAAGCAGAAGACACAGCCAGAGAAGTCTGATCATTGGATTAGAGCAAAGGGACAAGCTGGATTTGACATTAGTACATAATAATACGACACACAAATTTTAAACATCAGCGGTACCAAAATCCACACTTTTTTATCAGTTCCATCCATTTTTCAGTCTGTCGAAGACCTTGACACTCCAGCCAATGTTTCAACTTAACGATTGTGTATTTAGTGATGTCACACATGTCCAGGTTCATACTGGGAACGTATTTTTCTGTTAAAGTTAAACAACTGAATCTGTGTTGAAGCCATGCCATTGTCTTAATATCTGGGTCACTGTGAGGGGCGGTGGTGGATTATCTATGCAAATGATTTGCATGGCATCATGAGTGGAGATAACCCTAACCATTGGCTTTCAGTGTCCAAAACTTACTTTTATCACGTTAAGATTTATGCAAAAAATACAGGATCAATTTATTAGGCCTTCGCGAAGGCCTATTGTAATTTTGTAGATGAACAGATGCTCAGATATATTCATCAATTAACACGGATTCCTCATTTTTCTGAACTGAATAAAACGTGCATTGAATTTAATGAAATGCAAACGTGAGACGTCATTTATATTTGACCCATCAAAATGAATGCGGTCATTTATTTACAGAATCAAAGTTTAACATCAAACATTTACATTAATTTGGCAAATTATGAAAATAACAACATAAGCAATCAATCAGGAAAAATCATACGGCCATGATTTTTCCGTTGCGTCACCACAGACATTTATGAAAACTGTACAATTATGATCTTTTACCCACACGGATGTGGATGAGCACTT